GAATTCTAGACTAACGCACTGGGTGCTGGGATTGAAACTTATCCCGTACGTAACCCTATTAAGAGCGGCTCACCTATCTAATGTGCATTCTGGAAGCTTGTTGGAGCCATAGCAAGCAATATGGCCGACTTAACCTTGTTAAGCGTACGCGACGCCTACCGCCGCTTCAAAGGAATCTCTAATGATTGCATACGGAACGCAATTAACATTGCAAAGCAGGTATGATTATAATATCATTTCATTGTGTGATGTGTTATGTGTTTTACCTATGTGTTCATTCAATTTGTCATTAAAAGCACAAGTTAAATTGAGATACAATTCATGACATTTTAAATTAAGAGTGAATCAAATAATTTAATAAAATAACATAGATTGAATTCTTTAAGATACTGGAAAACAACGAGTTTGTAAAAAATATAAACATCCCGTTATTTCATCTAATTTAACTCGTAAGCACTACAATTTATATCCAACGATTTCGTTCGCTACCTTTATTTGGTATAATTTTTTTACTTTTCATTTTCTCTTTTAAGTTCATTATTTCCTTTCCAGTGATTTTGATAATACAACTTCATGGAACACAGAAATGATGTGTCTACTTTGTGAAAATTACTGTTTTAAATTAAGTGAAGCGTAATTCATATAAAGTTAATTTTGGTCTCAAACTTCTGTTTGTGCTAATGTTTAATAAACAGGTATGCTCTAAACAAAATTTCTCTTGTTCAATCGTACTCACCATACTTATATATTTGGTAAACATTGCTAGTGTTAAAAGTTTTTGTTTTAATTAAAATATACAAGCTTCGGTTAGTTAAATTAATACTGGTAGTTTGTGTTTATTTTTCTTTATCTAATAAATTTGTACTATTATCTCTTTTTATTTAAATTTAGTTGGTGAGTTTGGTTCAATGTATATTTAATACCCATGCAATCTTGTACTTTCAGTCGATGTTACTTATTAGTTACTAGTTTTTGCCCGCGACTTCGTCCGCGTTAATTTTGTCATTAGTAATATATGTATAGCTGACCGGGCAAACTCTATTCCGTTTTAGAGGCCATTAATAATCAGGTTTCTCCTGTTTCAATCGAACAGAATGATTGACTTATTAGTTAGTTGTCAAATCTAATGTCAAAAAAAAAACGTTTGTATGGGAAATAGAAAAGGGCTGTTTTTATGGTTTTCCCAGTAATGGATCAATTTTTTTCAGCTTTTATACCTTCCCTGAACCTCCACAAAAATTTCAAGACTAAGATAAGATAAATCCGTTCAGCTGTTCTCGAGTTTTAGCGAGACTAAGGAACAGCAATCCATTTTTATATATATAGAAGATTACCATTATTACTCCTTATACCGTATATAATATTCCTGACTGTAATGCAAATAGAATAATTCCTAAATATATTTTTTGTTCATTCCTGTGTATTCTTTTCATATGTTCGTTGCCCGTTTTACTATTTTCATCTCTTCTGTGTATCCATATGGCCGAAAGCGATCCGTTGTATAGTGTAGTAGATCACAGGTCATCCTATTGCCTAAAGAGCGCCTTCACTCACTGTTTCTGAAACACTTTATATCTTTCAGACTTTCGTTTTATTTTCTTAAATAATTTTTTTTCTCAGTTGAATTTTTTACTTCTTTTAGTTGATATAGTTATAATTTTGTTTTATATCCGAATATTGTCAATTTAGATTCAATAATTATTTAAATGAAATTTCATTTTAATAATTGTTTTCTTCAATTGAGAGGGAACTTAAACAAATTATACACCTAGCGAAACAGTAAATGAGCATTAGAAAATGATGAATAGAAAGTCATACTTTGTTTTATGAAACCAATTAGGAACATAAACTCTTTAAACAAGAGCGATATTTTCTACCAGTCATCTTTAAGATCTCCTCTCCACGCCTGTAAAAGTTCATTATACAGTTTTAACAAAATGTGACTTTGCCCTCTGATTTTTTTACCATTACTTAAATCTTGAGACGACAGCTAATCTATGTAGGGTATCTGTAAGAAAATAATCTGGCAGTATCGCGATATCGGAAAGATCGTATCAGTAAATTGAAAATATTCGAGAGCTCCAGTCATGAAATAATGCAACCGTTTGAATATTTTTATAAGAAAATGCTCTTTCGAAATTAAGATTTTAGACTACTCCAGTAAAACATAATAATATGGTCAGGTAAATAATAAAGCTAAAGTAGTAGTATTTTAAAAATAAAAATCTTTTTTATGAAATACTAAAAAATAGTAGTAAATAAAACCTAACCAAATAACACACAAACACACACACACACATATGAGTGTATATAAGGTATCGAAGGAATATACAAAGATATATGTATATATAAAGTTTTTTAAATCACATTTATATTTTCACAAAGTAACCACAAGCTTAAGTTCGTAAAGCAAAACCTTGAAACCTTAAGAACAAAGAAAAACTCATTAAAGTACTTAAGCAGTTGTTCTCTCCACAAAATCGTTTTATCTTTACAAAGTTTAAAGAAGTTCAGCCATAGTTTATTTATTTTATTTTAAGTATCGATTTTAAATATGCAAGGTGATAATTAAATCATCATTAAAATATAGTAAATATTTAAATCAAACGAAGTTTTCGGATATACTACAGAAAAACTAAATAGTATTTCTAAAAAATATAGTTTATTTTAAATATGCACTCCAAATTCATAGATACCGAATTTTAAAAATGAATATAATGTTCATTACTTTTTATTTAAATATTTATTTGAGTTTTGTTTAATTTTACTAGAAGTAATGAAGGAATACGATACGTATTACACAGTATAGTAATTTATATACATAGAAAAATAGATTACGATTGAAAGAATGCGAACAAAAGTAGAGAAAGGGAAAAGTTTCAATAAAATCGGAATTTAACTTCCTAAGAAATTACGTAAATAGGTCACAGCCAAAGCGAAGTTTAAAATTGGACCGAATCACGAAGTAAATTGATTAGCCCTTTGAAAGCGAAGCGTCAGTGTGGACGCCGGGACGGGGACAACCTAGATCGATCAAATTTTACATTTATGATGCTATGTAGATGTTTCATTCGATCTTCCTATACTTTAAAGAGTATAACTGTCATAAAAAATGCAATAAACATGAATAATTTTCTTTCTCCAAACATCCTAATATGTTTTACAATTAAAATGCCAAAGCATTAACATTCGTTCGATAAAAGATTTACAACATAACATAGTAAAACACGGAAGATTTTAGTATACAGTAAATACATTACAGATAACAAAATTCAATTCTATGAACCCTGTGTAAATTGCACCTTTTTCGGACCTTCGACAATAGCTGTCTACATTTGTCCAGCTCTCTAACTGATGTAATTGCATCCGTTCCAGACGATATGTTAGCCAAAGTCACCTTTGTAGCACCAATGTAAATGCATATCGCGAATAGTTGCCGCTAGCTAAACTTTGTTCAGAAATTTAAAATATAAGATTGACGACATTTGATTATATCTATAAAGGTTAAGATAGAAGATTATATCTATAAAAGATTTTGAAAGAAAGCTGCTAGTATTTTTTTAAATATATCTTTGGAATAATTGTAGTCATTCAGTCTGTAATCTATTATTAGTAATTTTAATCAAATACAAGTAGAATAAAATGTCTTATCGTTATAAAATAATATAAGTTCTTCGTTCAGAATGTATGCGAAAGTCATAAATTCTCAAATGTTTGACTTGGTTTATGGAAAATGAGCAAAGAGAATTTTCAAGCAAAGCTTTAAGTCATCTATCGTACAGCCGCAATGGCTATGACGATACCTTTTGGCTAAGCGCGGTGCGGGACGTGTACCCGGTTATATTAGTCTGTGACATACAGACAAAAGATATTTCTAATTTAGTCTACAAAACTAAAAACACATTTTCTGTATATTAACATCAAATCTCAAATAAAAAAATGTTATGTATAATGTACATGCAAAACCATATAATGATAGATTTAGTGTTTAACATCAGACATCTAATGATTGCGGATAATATCGTTTCCATTAGTTTTATTTCTTTTTAATATATTTTGTGAATTTAATATACTTATTTTGCAAAGCTTGAAATTTTTACCACAATAATATTTCATGAATATTTTTTAAAACAGTTCTTACATACTATAGTACGTAAGCGTTATTTATTTATTGAAATTCTGATATACTAACTCCGTAGTATTAAAGGTTATACACATAATATAGTACAATTATATTTCTACCACTTTTAAAGAATTAGACATAGATATTAAATCGATTGGTCTGTATGTGGTTGGTGTGAAGCCGAGGTTACATAAATTCAATTTGAGCACCTCAGAGAGCTCTGCAAATTGCCTCTACCAGCAAGCACAGTTAACCCTTTGATGCCGATAACCGGCATTCCGTCACCCGACGATTCCGTTAGGTCATTTCAAATCACACAATTTAGATTCAGTAAGTATCGGTGATTCAAAGTCTAAGTTTAAAATGTGTTTCAGAAAATGTTAAAAAAATCCCACTACTTAAATTAAGTAACACAAAAGCAAGCCTTGGATGTAGCGTTAATTAGCAGTAATGAAAAAAAAGTGCGATAACGAACCATAAAAAAATCTTCAGATAAAATTACACTGAGAATACGAATTTTTTGCTGAATGCAATAAGTTACCTAATATAATAAAGTCAGAGATAATTTAAGCTCAAGTTTCGCTGTGATTAATGATTGCACCTGCGAGTTATGGCGTAAATCCAGTAGTGAATACGACTTACACAAAAAGAATTAAGAAAATTTGTTTCTCAGTATTTTAACTGATTAAAATACTTAATTGAGAACTGTAAAAAATCTAAATATAGATAATAAATCTTGTATATAGCACAAATAATATTATATTTAATGGCCACTAAATTAAATAATATCTATATAAAACTTATATCACACATCTAAATAAAATTCTAAAAGTAACATGTATAACAAAGCAGACTAAATTATTTCCTTAGATGATAATTAGTTAGCGGTGTCAGCAGTGGCATAAATAATTCTTGTGGTGTTAGTAAACCCAGAGCCCTGTCTCCAGCCCGAAACCACAATAACAGGATCCCCAATTCTCAAAAAGCCCTGCTCCATTGCCCATTTAGTGCAAAAGTGTACGCGATTTTCCAAATCCATTTGCCAATCCACAGCCGGCCCAGCTGCAGACAAAAAATAAAATAAAAGTACGGAATCATTCCTAGAACCAGTTGTTGAACCATTCCGTGAAGTAAAAGCTGAATTGTCCTGAGCGTTCAGGAAATTTTATTTTAATTTTTTTACATATTAATTCATTATTGTCTTCACTGTTAAATTAAATAATTTACAAAAAAATAGAAATCAAAGTTTATTTGTTTTGCAATTATTATTCTTTTGTAAGTGAAGTTAATAATGTTACGTCAGTGAAATTGTATACTGACATTTGTTCTAAAATTTTTCTAAATTATTCTCTCACCTTCATATATCAATGGTATTATTCCTCTCCACATATGTAGACTTCTGGCAATAGCAGCATACCTTGTAAGTGCAATAATTGGGCATCGTGGTCGATATTTGGCAACTATTTGTGCAGATTTACCAGAAGTTGTAATAACAACTATGACAGCTGCAAGACAACGCTGCGCTGCAATCACTGCAGCTAGTGCAGTGCCCGTTGCTTGATCACAAGGTTGCGTTGTCTGATAGAAATTCAATGTTTCACAAATAGCTTACCGAACATACATTTGTATATCACGTTTTCATATTAAATACATTTACTCGAAATACACTTTAACATATACCACATTTCTTTTGTAGGTTTTAAGTAATATAATTTATTCAATACCTTATCAAACATATCATGAAAAACTTGTTTAGTCCAAACACAGGCTTCAGCTTCTTTGCATGTGGTAGCCATGCATTCTACAGTGTCAACAGGATAATCTCCGACAGCAGTTTCTGCCGAAAGTACCAGGGCATCAGCGCCATCGAGGATACAGTTCGCAATATCCAATAACTCTGCTCTAAGAGGTATACTGTTGTGACGCATGCTACTTAATAAATGCGCACTCACACATATTGGAATGTTTGCCTGGAAATCACGATTATTATCATGAGATCTAAGACTTTCTTCTGTATTCATTTATATGAAACTAATATTGTTCGAATTACTATTCGTATTTTATTATTTTTGGAAATCTACATACTCTGCCTTTCGTCTACGATTTGTTTGCCCGTGATCACGGTTGCTGCAAAGTAACCGAAACGTTGGGGGCATGAGGTTTTTAATAAGTAATAAAATACGCGTAGTAATTCGAAACCTATTAGATTCATTTAAATCACAATTTTCACAATAATATTTATCCAGAAAGAAATATTCAATTAAATTTATTGTTATATTGAATGAAATTGAAAAATAGAAGGAAAATAAAAATTACCATGTTTGCACGAGCTATCATATTTTTCTGTGCTATTACTAACTTCTTGGGAGTTATATCAGAACCTAATTCTTGTCGTGTTATCATTATGCCATTGGCAGCCTGAAAATGAAATATAATGTAAAAAATATTTCATTACTTTTTTTTACCAAAAAACTAAAGTGGAAGATTCTTTTACATTTGCCATATGTGTGAATATTTTACGACATTTTCGTGGTAAAGGTAAATCTCATAAAAGGATGAACCCTTATAACTAACATAAAACTTCGCAATCCATAACACTTATTAGTACTCACTCATGGCACTTACCGATAGAATGTCATCGAAGTTGTGAAAACCTTGAATAGTTTGGATGTTGGCAACAATAGCTATTTTCTTTCCTTTCTCCCCCATTAAGAGCCTGAGCTCAGTAATAGTATTAGACGAGTTTACGAAAGACGCGACAAGAATGTCCAACTAAAAGGAATTGACACTTTATTTCATTATCACAATTTTTCTTATAAAATTTTCTGGTTTTCAATTATAACACAGGAATGGGGCTTTGATCGTTTAATTAATATAAAGGTTGTTTAAGCTATTAATTAAATGATAAAAAAAAACGTAATAGAAGTTAAAAAATATATACTAATTACCATTAAAAAAAATATTTTGTGAAAAATATGATGTGTTTTGAAAATAAAGATCACATTACAACCAGTTTTCTGATGTTTAGTTTAATTATGTATTTATGTTAGGTACATATGTACATTGCTTTACGTTTAATTTATGATTTTTAAAACAAAATGAAAGAAGTATTTTTTTTATTTTATGTAAAAACAATCATTTGTGTTGTTTGTAATATTTTTAATTTGAATTATCTATAAAGATAAAAGCCTAGAGGTATACAGTTTAAGTTTTAAAGAAAATTGGTCCATTTCATAAAAAGTTGTGAAAATTTTAAGACAAATGATTTTTATAAAGGTTAAGTGTTGATGTAATTGTTGTTGTTTTGTTGTATATAATAAAGCTTTGTTAATATTTCAACCAAAGCAGTTGAAGCAGCGGTATCGATTATTACATTAGTAATACTTACTTGCATATGAATGGCCATATCAATGTATTCTTTATCATGTTCAGAATAATTTGGCATATCAAATGTGACGTTAGGAACAAAGACATCTTTATAGGATCCTAGGAAACCACCTCTTTCAACTTTGCAAGTTAATGTCGTGGCAGATATCATTTCAACTTTAAGTTTGATAGTTTCATTGTCCAATAACACCAAGTTCCCTTTATCCATCTGTTCGGCGAAATGCATGAAGTCTATGTACACGGTGTAGTTGGAACATCTGTCTCTATAAGTTTCATCTGTCGTTAGACGTACCACTTCACCAGTCTTAAGTTCGACAGAATCACCGTAAGTCTAGAAAAAAGAATGGGTTTCATTTATAAGGGATCTTGATAGTTATTGTATATTTTTCTGCCATTGGTGCCATTACTATTATATACAGAGTTAATGTAAATATAGTTAGCTCAGATAGTTTAAGGGTATTAATTACATCAGCAATAGAACCAGTTCTTATTTTTCGACCAGGGAGTCGGGCACCGATTGCCAATGGATATTTTTTACCACATTTGATGCTATAACTTTTAACTGCTTCACGAAGATTCTTTATAGTTTCCATGTGTTCGTCCTTGTTACCGAATGAAAGATTAAGAAGTGCGATGTTCATTCCAGCGGCTATCATTTTCTCCATGACTTCTACGTCGTATGTTGATTTACCTAAAATAAAAATCAAATTTAAGAAACTTTGTTAAAACAAACTGAACAAGATAATTTCTTACCCAAGTATCACATGATAGGTAAAGAAAAAAGTAAAAGAAAGGTATGAATTAATCATATGGTTTCAATTCAAAGGCTTATAGACTATGTAATTTATACATATCAATTTAGATTATTACTGCTTATAAGTATATTTGTTGAAGACTTCAATGCTGGGCTTCTGTAAGAAAGAATTTATTTTATTATCTTTATTAAATTTTAAAGTTTTACCCATGAATGAAACAATGCCAGTGAGACGCTGACAGCCAGCTGGAGCGCTTATATTAAGGTTTAGAATATGATCTAAAGTTGTATTAGCTTGGGCAGATTGAAGTTGTTGACCAGGCAAATCCATAGCGTCATACTAAATTTAATAAATTAATGTTTAGTTTCGAATTATATGAACAAGTATGATTATTTAACGCATACTTCAAACTTACTTCATCCAGTTTAACATCAAATTCCGTGGGCCAGACCATTATTTTCTTTATAGTATAATAAATGTTTAGAAATATACAATGACAAGAAAAGTCTTAATAGACAACGAAAAGTCATATAGAGGTGTGAAAGTAAATAAGAGTAATGAGTATGCATTATTAAGAAAATTAACCTCTTTATGTCCGTCTATTCCATTATTATAAAATTATTTTTTTTGTTTAAGCAGATTAAAACAATAAAAGAAAGTTATGTGGAACGTTTACCATATTTTTAGAATAGTCAACTGGCATTTTTGAACAATGACTCATAGATCGAAACCGGGAAAATATAAGTACGTAAGTTATAGAAGTTTTAAATTTGAAATAAAAGTAATTATAAGAATACGAAATTCATAATAAATGTAATAATTGTGTTGAAAGCGGTACGTTAATATTTGAGTTAATTTTCAACCTGAATAACTGATTGAAAATCACGGCTACTTTAAAGCATATGCACGAGTCAGGAAAATGTAACAGTTACAGTTGATGTTAGGTAATGATATTGATGTATGTAATTGAGCGACTTTGGCTGTCCTGTCAAGCACTTTTGAAGTTATACTGAATCTGCGGCATACTGTAATGCAACATGCGATAAAAGGACTAAAAAATTTCGACTGAATAAAGATTTAATACCTACATTAAAACCAAAAGTTTAATAATTGAAAGGTACTAGTGTAATCTTTAGTCATTAATGCGCTCAATGACTTAACAATACTATATAATAAATTTAAAAAATACTATTTCTACATATCTTTTTTATTTGTTAAGATAAGATAATTACAGATATTTAATATAAAAAAGTCTCGGATAATTTTTGATCTTCATCATCTTCACATCTGTAAAATATTAATAATTATTTAATTTTATTATATAATTAAGAACACTTTTATTACTTAATAATGATTTCTCTAAGTTTTATATTGCTTAATTAATATAAAAATTTAATTAAATTTAAGATAGTTCACAACTTACTCCACCAAAGTTTTCTTGCTAATGCTGACTTTACAAACCCTGACGGTATCACAGAAGGAGGTAGACTCGGAACTCCTTTCAAGAGTTATGTAAGTGTCGCCATACATCAGCCAATTTCTGTTCACAGCGTAGTCTATGGCGAAGTAAATACGTGCTTCCACTGCTTTGGGCCATTCGTTTTGTTGTTCCTCTAACAAAATAATAATTTCCAATTTAGATGTACAATCCTCAACCAAGGTGCTTCCACTACCGGATTACATAAAAATTTCGTTGGTACATTTTTGTAGTAAATGATTTTGAATGAAAATTAAATACACTTTTCAGATCTGCTCTGTAATAGGACACAATAAAAAAACCTACGAGTGAACAAAAGCGGCATAACACTCCTGTACGTTCGTAAAAGTCTCGTGGTACGGATTTCCGGGCTCACTGTTATAATGAGGCAGGACGGCCGCATCCAGTGTAGGTACTTCATTGTCGTTCCGCTAACTGTCGGTACTACTATAATATTTGCCTGTGTTTGATTGGTGACTGTTGCACAAGCGATAACAGCAGCTTCTGCTGCATTCACAGGCATTTTCACCTAAGATAATTGAATATGTTTTGTATTATATTACGTCGGCAAATCAATTTGGATTATGTAAATACGAGATGAACATTTAGTTAATTGTTTGGTGTATAGTGAAACATAAATTTAATACCTCATCAATAATCCTATAGAACTTCGATTTACTCGTAAGTAAAGGATCAATAGTGTAACACAACTCATTAATTCCTTTCAACACATCAAATGTTAAAGAAGAGTCTGAACTTTCCTTGAGTAGGAATCCACTGACGTCGTCCATGAGAGCGTTTGTTACATCTGATATTTCACAGTCAACGAATTCTCCTGTTTTCAAAGTCATTTCAAAAATACCACCAGATACATAGAAAGGCTTCCCGGCCTGCAACAAATAATGTAAGAATCTGAATACTATAGCAGATTATTAGGAATAAATAAGTCTGATTTCCAATAGATATTTAACTATTTACAGTAATATCATATGTAATATACTGTAATTATAATTCACAAATATAAAAAGTCCTTCTGAATTAGTTCCAATAAACCCTATTCAAGGTGAAATTCTAATTCTGGTGATTTGTTAATACCTGTAGACATTTTCCTGATAACCATTTCTGAATATTTGCGAGACGATACATGTATGAAGCTTTTGTTTCGTACGGTAGGTATTCTCTTGACATAATTATTCCATCGCTTTCCTGGAAAGGTTTAATTTGTTCTCAATAAATTGTTTATTATTAATGAAATTGTACGTATTTCAATTTAATTAAATTTCTACAAGTTTGAACCTTTATTATATCATCAATGTTTTCTAAACATTCCTCGGTACAGATTCCACTGAGTATAATGGGCCTTTTAACTTTTTTGGACTTAATAAATTTCTTGATTTCTTTAATACTATCCGCATGGCGAACATAGTTAACTATAATAGTATCTATCTACAATATAAACATTAATAAATTTTTTACATACAATACAATAATATTTATAAATATCTTGACTTATACCTGATATTCTAAAGCAAATATGATCGAATGAAAATCTTCTTTAGTTAACAAGGGCGTTGAATGTTTTATTTGTCTAGCGCACACTGCACTATTGTTAGTTAAGATACCGTCTCTTGTAACGACGCATTTTATTGAATTATTATCAATTCTAGATTTACATTTCAAAATAACATTGTTACCATCAATAAAAATCTCACCACCTACTTTTATATCTGCTAAAATGTATTGGTTATCGATAAATATTTTGTTATTATTACATTTATTTAGATTCGCCATATCATATGTAAGTAAAACTTCGGTATTTTCTTTAAGACTAATGTTTTGTGTGGGCTGAAATATAAGTTTTAAAATGATGTTTGTAAATTATTTAGTATAATTGAGCACAAAGTCAAAATTTTTCGATGAAATGATATGCATACATCTTCCGAAGTACCAGTATTTACAATACAAGTCTTTAATTCAATACATGTGGCAACTGGCCAGTTTGTGACTCCATATTTTGTACAACAGGCAAGTGTAGCTTTGTCGATTTTCCCGAGTAATCGTAGACTTTGTCCCTTGCTATTTTGGGCTAATTTAATCTTCACTATACTCATTCCAGCTTCCAATAGATTTTGTATCTCAACAACCGTGATGTGAGGATCCGCTGTAAATTTATGTTTTCATTCAAATATTATTTTTTGTTACGATTTTTCTTTTAAAATTAATTTCTTATAGATGACCAAAGATATAATACCTAGTGAGCCGATGATGGAACATCTCCGAAACCTATAAGGTGGTTGTTTTAGAACCATAGGATTTGTTATGTCCACATCTGTGAACGTTATAATTTCAGGAAGCTTTTCAGACATTTTATACAACTATAAAGATTATTATAAATATGTTGTGTATATTTTCAAAATATCTTAAACACTTTTATAAAACTTCACATAAGACAGATAAATAAAGTCAATCAGTTGACATTTTTATTAATATTGAAACTCTTTTCTTTTTGTATTTCTTACCATTCATGTCATTTTAACTATATTATATAGATGGTTTAAGATATCATTTCACTTAAAAGATTTATAAAGATTAATTTCTTCCAGATTAATGAAAGTATTTATAACGAACTTGCCAATGCAATCAACTGATCAACATAATAACTATGTGCAAGTCTATATACATCCTTATATCGGGATTTAGGGTAATATTATACAGTTAGCCAATTGATATGGCTACCAGCCAAGTGGATACTTCGTATTACTCACACTATTTGACAGTTTTGCCAATATACGAGTATTTCATTTCAAGCTATATCACGACTTTGTAAATTCCATTAAACTAGAAACTGTTATATTAACATGACACATTTTACTTTGGAGATTTTTTAAAATAAATACGAACGAGAGATTAAAATGTTTTCCTGCTGTTTCACAATAATGTTTATTGTACACAATCCCTCCCGATAGATTTTTCCTATAATCAAGAAGCTGGGAAAAAAGTGACAAAGCGTAACAATAGAATCCCTGGCAACGAATCGCTTTGTGTTTGTTCTGTCGCTAGCTAATGGACAAACAAGGGTCGCTGTGGCAATGTTGATTTTCAGTCAACGTGCACGCTTCCTTGTCTTCCAAGATTTATTTTTACAATTCCGGTCAGTTTGGTTCCGTCAATTAATTATTATTTGGATAGGATAATCATAGGATATTAATAATGCAATATTGACAAATATTCCATTCGTACTAAATATACATGTAGTACCCTAGATTTTATTTCACAAGTCTTTAATATGAAAGTTTTAGTTACAAAAAACGTCTTACTTTTGTCTCATCGAATTATTCCCAGTTGCAGAAACTATTTCTGGCTATCTCAACGTCATCAGACGACTATTCCTAAAGGAGGATTCCTTGAATTATGGATAAAGTCGAGATCCAAAAAACCCTTATCTCCGCTCTCCGGCTGTATGTTTTTGATTACCCAGGTGTATACCTTAAATATATGATTTGTGACGAAAAGTAGCTCAGGGATAACAATAGTTAAAATATTCTGTGCCTCAACTCTTTGACTTGGACAACATTGATTTTACAATCATTTAAAACGTTCTATAAAAAATATTCTAAATAAATAATTAATCTAGAGAAAGGAATAACGTTAATATATTTTGTTCATTTCCTAATATATGTAATTGTGTCATAATTGGTCATCAAATATTAAGATAAAACTGTTACAGATACACGTACAGGTATTTTGTATGAAAGAAATATGAACGTAATATTATTGAATATGGCCAGATATAATAAATAGAAAATATATCAAAGCCGAAGGAAATTGAAAGTTTAATATAATAGAATGTTATAGGTTTGATGTCTAATCTTGGTTTATATCGTCAGCACCATCTCGGTCGGTACTTGTGGAGTGGAACAACTTCTAGGCAACTTCTATAGAGTTGAAAATCAACGAGAGCTAACAAAATATTTATAACTTAGTTAGTTATTGGCTTGTTGGACTTTAGTAGGAGAATTTGAAGCTAACATACCAACTATGCTTACTTATTTACAATGTTAGCAGACTTGGTCGATGTTAGCATCGGACCCTCTTAGTAATTAATTATTTAAATACATCTTCATTTAAAATACGTCTCCTTAGAAGGTATTGAACAAGGAAGACACAGTCATTGTGTGCCACATAATTAGTTACAATTACCCGTACTATGAAGTATGAGAAGTCGTTAGAGTTTTGGATAAAATAAATAACGTAAAGTATATTTCGGATATATCAAACCGTTTTTGTATTATACACTTTAAATTAAATTAATATTTTTTTTATTTTTTGTGTTCGAAAATTATTTTAACGTTAATATAGACTTAAAAGTCAGGTAGGTAAATAGTTAAGGTACTCATGGAGATAGATATAGTAATGTAAACTAACCTTCCTTTAACCTAGATCTCTTATCTTCCTCTAGGTCATTCAGTTGCTCTCAGTCGATAAATGAAAGAATAGATTAAATGACCCTACGTCCATTGAAACAAAAAAACCACAACTAAGCCCTAAAGCGATAAGCTTAACATATCCTGATACCTTATATACCTTTATTATTGGTATTAAAGTATCACGTAAACATTTAAGCATAATCTTATATGAAACTGTAGATCAAAATTAACTTGACCGATACAAGAAAAGAATGTATTTTTTTCGTGGAGACATCAATTCTAGTGGTCATAAGAGTCAAATAAAAAAATTCTTTAATGACTTCTATACTACGGTTTGTCTGCTTTACCTGGTTATTATTAACAGATATTTTTATTTTTAGTTGTCGAAATATTATATTAATATAGTTGTAATTAAAATGTATAAACTAATTAAAGTAAGGAGAAACCATAAGATAAATAAATGTCCATTACTAATGGTAATCATGGATAAAAAAAGAAGTTGATTTCAAAAATTGTTTATTTATTATTAAGTTATTTAAAAGCCAATTAATTGACAATGAATAAGAAAGTCAATAATTTGATGACTGCCAGTGCATTCACATTGCAGAATGCCGCTCACACAACTGTTTGAGTTGCATGTAGAAGTAGTAGCCTATAGAAGTTTGTAATTAAAAATAGGTATAAATAATTTAGAAAGAATTTATTACGTCTTGTAGTAGGGGTGTTTCCCAGTTAATTTCTCTGAGGCTGTCCTAAACGGGGAGTCGTTAAGCTTCACTAATTGCAATGGCAGTTTAATTAATGTCTAATTACGTATATTATGCGCCTTACGGCCCTCTGCTGTAAAAAATCCTTAAGATATATATTTTCACAATTCTATGTAAATTAATTTATTTCACAATATGTATTATTATCATATTTTTATACCTTCAAAAAAGGAGCGAATCTTTCATGTTGTTGAGACAGCAACGTACATAATGTTATTTGGAAGTCATGAATTCGGTTGATTAAAGTCAAAATAAATAAACAGAGCAAAATCCCTTTGGTGACCTAAATATATTACGACGGATAAAACTTAGGTGGTAAAGCCGCAAATGAGCGTATATATTATATAACTTTAGAAGTTTAACAGTAATGCTGACATGTTGCCCAAAGTGAGAAGTTTGAAAATCTCTTCAACGTAATATCATAGAGTGTACGCGAAATGTCTCTAATATAACCTTATTCAGTTTCATATGAATTTAGTAATTGAAGGTTGAAGTTACAGTTTTTGTATAATATATTTTAGATATTTATTAAATATATCTTAAAAATTACAAAAATATAATGCTTAATTATAATCTTTGATCATTTTGTGTATATAAATCGTATTGAAAATTTTTAATATCATTTATTTTAAAAGCGTTAATCGATTAAACATTTTAGAACAATTTACGATTAGTTTGTTTGTTTTTTTACAAAATATATTAAATACCACTAATTAGTAAGTTATTAAAGAAACCAGTTATATAATTATATAGATATGTTAGATTAATGTATGTTTTTCTTATGTGAATTCAAGTACGGTGTGTTAATGTGTCTGACGTTCTGAAGGGATTCCTGACACGTAAAGAAGCCTTCAGTGTTTACGCTTTAGCTAATACACGAGCCTCATTTTCCTACGAATGTAAAAGTATATTTATTTTCAGAAATAAAGCAATTGCTACTTATCAAAATATTTCAGTGGTGTATGAGTTTCAAACAATGTTAGACATTAAGCAATTCATTTACTAAAAATTGTTGGGTACATAACGATTGTCTTCTTTTTATATATATAGCGACAAAAAATATAGCTATGTGTTTAAAGAATCTTTACAAAATCTTGTTTGAGTTTTCAAACCGGTGTTGAAAGTTATTGTTCAGTAAAATGCATGTCAATGTTTTTTATTCAGATATAACTGTTGTGTGAGCCGTGAAAATCACGACGAAAACAATGTCTAACTGCATGCAGGAGAAAACAAATGGTCTAGGGGAGTTAGAAACAACATGGCGCCAGCGACAAAATGTTTTCGTAAGTTGCATCGTTCTGATGCCAGACTTCAAAATTATAATAATATTTTCTTTGTATTACTGTTATTTCTCATGTTGCGGTTTGAGAATTAAATGACGGTATATGTTTAATATTTGAGCAGATAATTTTGTTGCTACACATTTGTACAAGACGAGAAATATTAGAGATGATTTTTTATGTTGTTGTTTTGTTTTTATAAAATAATAATGTATACGTCAATTTAGAAAAATGATGTTAGTAAGTGCATTAAAGTGCCAGCTTTGAGAAATATGTTAAGAAGGCAGGAGGCTGTGGCTCATTTCATTATTGGAATTCTTGTAAAGTAGGTTCCTAGCGCGACGTCCTATTTACCGTCGAAATTGCTATTAGAGAGTTTCACGCCCGTTCGTATACATACGTTCATATATCACAATGTTTGACGTCACTACTTTACATACGGGCGTTAGTTTGTTTTATAAATAAATATACAAGAAACAACTAAACAGAATGACACTTATTTTGCAAAGCATATGGATTTTAAGAAGGTAACTTTATAGTTTCTCTGTTAAGTGACCGATGTATCATTAGGTAAACTTAATTTACAGCGTTCAAAATGCCTTTGAACGGTTTTTTAACAGCGCCGACAAACTTTTTATTATCATCCCGAGTGTTTTCACGCTAATGGACGCGTAATTGGTCGTTTCGTTGACTAATGGACAATTAAACGGAGCTACGTAAATTCGTTTTAAAAGTATTGCTCAGATAGTTAAAAGTTTTATTTACTTATTACACACTCGAAGAAGACAGGAGAAAAACTAAAAACATTAAGATGTTCAAGTATGTTCATAATACGAAATTTTTTTTTCCGTATTACGAAAAACCATTTCCATTTCACGTAAATAGACCATAA